GGTGGAGGTGGGAAGGGACCAGTGTGGGCAAAGGCCTGGAGGCCACGGAGAGGTCCCAGTAGAGAGGATTGCACCAAAGTTCTCACTGCACATGTGTGTCCTCTCTCCTCCAGGTGGTCGGGACAGGGCTGGGCGGCCCCTGCTTCTGGTGTCAACCCCCCAGGGGGCCTGGGAGGCACCATGGTGCACAGCCTCAGAGGTCACCAAGCTGCTTTCCTACCTGTGCACTGTCCCCAGGTAAGAGGCTGGGCTGGTTGGCCACTCCATCCTTCCAACCCCTCAGCCCAGGGCCTAGGACAAGGCACCCAGTGGAGAAACACCATACCCTTCCATCCAGTCATCTGTTCCCAAAGCCAGTCCCCAGATGGTGGAGACAAAGCAGGACACACTTAGTCCCCACCAGCGGGATCCCAGGCTGGTCAGGGAGACAGATGATGTGCCAAAAAACCAAACCATGGGCAGGCAATTCTCAGGAGCGTTAGTGTGGCGAAGGACCCAGAGGGCTGTTGTAGGTCAGTGGTTTTCAAACTCGAGCTTGCATCAGAGCCTCCGGAGGGGCTGCTAAAACAGCGCTGAGACCCACCTCCAGAGTTTCTGATTCAGCAAGTCTGGGGAGGGGCCTGAGAATTTGCACATCTAACAAGCTTTCTGATGATCCTGATGCTGCTGGACTGTGGACCACCTTGAGGACCACAGTTGTAGAGTGAGAGGGGTGAGTGGACTAATTCCAATTGGAACATCAGGGAAGGTTTTCCTGAGGAGGTGGTAATTGAGAGCTGACATCTGAATTATAAATATTCGTTGAACAAATGGAGGGCGACTAAGTGAATGAATGAATAAATGAATGAGAGAGTGAATAAGTGAGTGAGTGAGTGAGTGAGTGATTCCTTTGTTGATGCTTTTCCCCAGCTGGAACAACTCAGACCAAAACATCTGGCCCCGCTGCTGACTCAGGCCCACTGGCTGGAGGAAAGGCTGGTTTCCCAGAAGCTTCTACAGAAAGAGGCCCCACTCCGGATGAGGAGCCACCAGGGCCCGAGCCCAGCATCGGGGCTCTGAGTATGGAGATCATCCACTCCCGGATAGCGTGCCTGCCAGGTCCTCAGGATCATAGGGGCAGGTGGAGGGGGAGGGTATGTGGGGAAGGGAAGTAGGTCCCTGGGCATCCTCAGATGTTGGTGAGTGTGGGGGAAGACATGGAAAGCTCTGGAGACCTGTGTTCTGGACTGAGCCTCAGTTTTCTCATCTTTCCAATTAAGATGTTGGATTATACAGAGTGGGGCAAAAGTAGATTTACAGTTGTTCATATGGAAAATAATACAATAATTAATAAATAATAATACAAAAATAAAATCTGTGTCTCATGTACTCACAACTGTAAACCTACCTTTGCCCCACCCTGCATAAAAGCAATTTCTAGGTACCCATCCAAATATTCATC